TCAAGAGGAAAATTTTAACTAACGAACGAGCTGTGCAGTTTGAATTTAGCACACTTCTGATGCAAGTTGATATTGATTCAAATGATACTATAATTACTAAAGGATTGAACAGAGAAATATTTTTGATAATTTTAAGGCTCGTGCCTTTAATTGGACGTACAGAAGGAGTTATTTAAGAAAGTAGAGCAAACCAAATGTTGGTCTGGAGTTTTATTCATAACTACCCTATACTACAAATGCAAAACTATAAATTAATATAAAACTATCGACTTTTCTAAATTGTTAAGATTTTCTGCTACGCAGTTGGTTTTGCAATAGTAGAATTTGTATTTGGTGAATCTTTAAGGTTAAGCACCACATTTGAATCGCCATAAACTTGGTAGCTCTGGTCATTTACGTCGAAAAACGAACGCTTTAAATGTTTATCTTAATGAAAATCTTAAACTTAAGCCGTCCTCCATTGTTTCTATCTTTTCATCCTGAAAATCTTGATTTAACAATACAAAACCGTAAAACCAATGTCTTAAGACAAAAATACGAAACAAGTTGTCTTAATCAATAAAATCTTCTTACAATCGTCAATTAATTTATTTATAATTCTTTTATTTTTGCATGGCGTTTGTAAAGTAATTTTTAAACAATTGGAAGAAACCGTAACAGTTTAAATACATAATTTCAGAAATTTATTAATCATTAAAATAAAGTATTACAAAATCAAACCAAAGTCCACTATATAAGTTATTTTCGATTTAGGATGTTAACATTAGTTCAATACATATTATTGACCATTTGAAGAGAAAAAAATTTAAATCATTCAAGTAGGTTAACTCAGAAAACTAAAACAAAAATCGCAAATAATAATAAATGTAATATATATTTAAATGAATTTAATAAATCAGGCTCTACTTCAAATCTAAAACTTTGACATATTTTCTGTAAAAAACTGAAAAATGAAAAAATGAAAACACTATTGTGTACATACTATGATAATAAAACTAAATCAATTCAAAGTTTTGTGGCTAGTATGATAAAATTCAATATTATTTATTTCCGTACATACCTTTCAACAAAAATAATTCTGACTCAATGTGTTACTTTAATAAGGTTTTACTGGAGTACCTTTTTACAATTAAAATGAATTACAAAATATGTTCAAATTACTATCGGTACTTTTTAAATAAATTCTTTTAAAAATATTTTGCTTTTTCTTTATAAAAATTAACGTTAGATATTATAATAAACCAAAACTCTAATCAATTCACCCAAAATTGATATAGAACCTATTTATTACGTACAGCTTTTCAGCTGTTGAAGCCTCAATTTTATATTTGTAAGTGTTAAAACACCTAATAACTGCATGGGTTATTTGAGTTCATATCCCAAACAAGATAAAGCTTTTATCTGACTTTACTTAGAACTCCCCGAATACAATCTTATCCAACACCTACTGCCTCTCTCTGTTGTTAAAAGGGCCAATGATAGTATTATAATATTATAATCTCTAATAATTTTTTATTTCACTAGCATAATAAGTCAATATTTACTAATCAGAAAATGTTACTATAGCCATTAAGGGTCTAGTAAACTTAAAAACGCCAGATTAATAGCTTTTTAAAATTTGGGTTTACCACAGAAGGAAGACTAAGGTAATTGTAGTATTGATAATACAACTTGTCGGCCAACATAACATGATGTGTTCAAAAGGCTTTTTTTAATTTCTTTACATTGATAACCTAACATAGTCAACTTTTAATGAATATGCAAGATATGCAACAGTATTAACGTGCGTGTTAAGATTTTTGTATAAATGTTGACAATCAATTTAATGTACCAAAGTTGGTCCAACCACCCCTATGCGTAGTAAAATGAACCAAAATGTATATATAAATATTTTAAAACACTGGTTATTAGTGAAATAATTATAAACATTTAGAAGCATTTGTGTTCACACAGAATAATGGTTTAAAAAGTCCGATGCATTTTGTGGTGACATTTTAAAATTTTAGTTTGTAACTATCCAAGGATTTTGTACCTCATACATTTGATAAATACGTGTTGTTAAAAAAAGCCAGGTGTACAATGAAATGTCTGGCGCGTACACCCATTATTAGCATACAAATGAGAGGAAAATTAACCTTTCAATGCAATTCTGTTGACTTTAACGATACTTGTCATTGTTTACGGACTAAAAACCTAATAAATTTACCAACTAAACGGAAACGCTTTGTTTTGTTGAAGTAACTAGCTTTTAAATAGGGGTTTATTGGTGGTGTGTCTAAAAATCTTGGAGAATTTTCCCATAGTCGATACAAAATCGTTTTATTTTTGTATTCACAGTTTAATTATTGAAAATAAATTAAGCAAAATAGGTACTCTTGTTTGGTTCACAAGAGGTCGTCAAGTGGTCGATGACTCGACATAAAATATGTAATGTAAATACTTCTCTATTTTCAACCCACGCTATAAATAAAACACGTGATTGGAATTCCTTCCAAGTGTTTTGATTAGCTGTTTATATTTCGTTGTTATTTCGTAACCAGCATGGCAAACCATAAGGCTCATGTTAATTTTTTAAATTTTGAATTCATTTTTGCGTTTATTTTTGAGCCTATTTTTATTTATAACGGAATTTTGCACATCTACAGGAAAATATTTTTACTACAGTATGCGTAGATTTTCCCTACGATGCACACGAGTGGAGAAAAAAGTTTTTAAAGAAATATGATTGCCTATTAATATATAGGATAAGAAAAAATAGTCAACAAGTCCAATAGTATACGAACATGTGTTGAATTTGTGTATGCTTTTAGGAACATAACCAATGAAGGTCGGGAACAGTAATTGACTGAGAAGGGATATACTAGTAATTTATCGATATATATAAAATCCAATGTATGTTTGTTTGTATGTATGTTTGTATGTATGTAAAGTTGTTTGTTTGTCCTTTATGGACTCCGAAACCGCTCGACAGATTGTAATGAAACTTTCAGGCATTATTAAGTATTATTCAAGAATGGTTTGTGTGAAGTTTGGTGCAGATCCGTCAAAAGGGCTCCACCCCAGTGGCTCTGGAGTTTCCCATGTTAACCTTATGAGTACTCATATTTAAATGGAATTAAAGAATCTTAACAGCTGGTTCAACAAAACAATTTGATTCTGTGATGTTCAATAGCATAAAAAGATTTATCAACAGTGTGCAGCACTACTGTATTATTTTTTAAATTTATGACAACAGCTAATTTGCAACCTGCAGGCAAGTGAGCGCAGCGAACGAGCTCCAACCTAAAGGTGAGTGAGCGTAGCGAACGAACTTCAACCAGGACGTGATTGAGCCATGCGAACGAGCTCATCTTAAAAAATGAACGAGCATGTGACATAAAACCACATTAGGACATGACAACGTCTGTCGGGCCAGCTAGTAATTTAATAAAACGCATGATGAACATTATTAAGAACAATTGCGAACAGTCAAACCGAAACTGTACTAAAGAATAACAGTCTCTTATAGTATTATACTAATGTGACATTTTTACAAGTTATTTTGATCAAAACCTATCAACCACTTTTAACAATATGGACAACACCACCATCAATTATTGTTGGCAGCTCTCTATATTATTCGCCAATAAAAAAATCTTCTGCAGATTTAATAGAGACAAAACTAATTACTAAAAAGAACTTTTCTACACATTTCTCTCATAGTTACAGACAACGCATGCCATTTTCCAAGCCAATGCGGAATTTTTATATTAGAAGGGTACAGTATTGGCTTTAAATCAATATGATAAGCTATATTATTTTAAACCAGTTAATCCTCAATATATTTTGACAAGTCTCATAATTGTTTATTAATTAATGTTTAATAATTATTTATTGTTAACCAACAATACGTCAAATACAGTCTCGATCATACATTAAAAAAGGCATGGTTGTGTACTACACTACTGCAATAAATTAGCTGTTTTGTTTACAATTTCACCACACATACTGTTTGGTTAAAAGTATTCCTTGACCTGCTTATAATCATATGTCATATTATTTATTTATTGTTATTGTTTACATTTGAATTATTTTATAAGTTGTACACATTCTGTTCGGCGCAGTCGAGAATAATAAAGTAAATAAGGGAATTCAAAAAGAAAAGAAAGATCAAAATGGATTTTAATAAACCTGAAGAGTTGAATGTTGTTAGTGGTAATATTGCCACCAATTACAAGAAGTTTAAAGAAGAAATATTAATATACTTTGAAGCAACTGAAACAGACAAAAAGTCAAACAAAGTACAAGTTGCAAGATTGAAGAACCTTTTAGGGGCTGAATCTTTAAAGCTTTACAACACACTGAAGAGAGATGCAGAAAATGAGGATGAAACAGTCTTAAGTATCTTAAACACGTTGGAAAAACACTGTATTCCTAAAAAGAATGAGACTATGGCAATACATCGTTTCTTAACTCGTAAACAGAGAGATGGGGAAAGTTTTGATAAATATTTGATTGATTTAAAGTCACTTGTAAGCCCTTGCGAATTTAAGGATCAAGAAGATAAACTCCTACGGTCCCAAATCATATTTGGAATTTCCTCTGCGAGCGTTAAAGAACGCCTTCTAAGAGACAATGTTCCTCTAGAAAAAGTAATTGATTACTGCAGATGCGTAGAAACAGCAGAAGAAAACTTAAAGCAATTAATGAAAAATGATAAGCCAACCTATATTGATGACGTAACTATTAACAAGACTCCAAAACCACAGACGAATAAGCAAAATTACAGCAAAGCTACAAATGGTAATTCCTCAATGATCAGGCCTAGAGCTTATGATAATGAGGGTGCAAGATGTTCAAGATGTGGATATTTTCACAAAGGCCAACCTTGTCCTGCACAAAATAAAGTATGCTTAAAATGTCAAAAACTCAATCACTTTGCTAAAGTATGCAAGACAAAAGTTTTTAATGGCCATGAATTAGAATCAACTGGTCAAATTGATGAAACACAGTCAGAATGGATGCTTAACGATAAAGTGGGGGCTATAGTCAATGTTAACAGGATCAAAGCAAGTCACTGGACAGTAACATTAAATATAAATGCAAAGAAGATCGTATTTAAGATTGACACTGGTGCAGATGTTAATATTCTTTCCACCAAAGATCTTGATAGCTTATCTCTACCTAACTGTTTTGAGGTTCAACCATCAACAACCAAGCTTGAGGCTTTTTGTGGGTTCAAAATAAACACAGTGGGGGAAGTAACACTGCCAGTTACAGTGGCTTCTAAATTGTACAACATCACATTTATTGTGGTTGATTCTGAAAAGACAACACCAATAATAGGACTTAATTCATCAATTGCAATGGGCCTCATCAAGAGAATATCTATTGATGCAGTAAGCAAAATACCCGACGTACAAACGCTGGTTGAAGAGAATAAAGATGTATTTGTAAACCAAGGTTGTTTTCCTGAAGTACTGAAACTGAAACTTAAGGAAGGGGCTGTTCCAAGAAGTTCACCTGCCCGTAGAATACCTAACAAATTAATGGATCGTCTTAAGCAGAAGCTGGATTCGTTGGTATCAAGAAACATAATTGAGAAATGTGAATCTGGAGAATGGGTACACAACCTCGTTATAGTGGAAAAACATAAAACTGGAGATTTGAGAGTTTGTCTAGACCCAAAGGAATTGAATAAAAGTTTGATTCGAGACTATGTTTTAATCCCAACTCTTGATGAAATTACCACTAAGTTAGCTAAGAAAAAATACTTCTGTGTGTTTGATTTGAAGGATGGGTTCCATCAGGTTCCCTTGGATCCAGAGTCTTCAAAACTGTGTACATTTAGCACTCCGTTTGGCACTTATCGTTATTTACGAGCACCATTTGGTCTCTCAGTTCTTCCAGAGTACTTTCATGAAACAACATCAAAGTTTTTTAGTGACGTTAAGGGGGTTGTAGTGTACTTTGACGATATTCTGTGTGCAGCAGAAACAAAAGAAGAGTTATACAAAATTGTAGGTACTTGAAGTTATCAATGTAGCAAGGAAAAACCACATTTAACTGAATAAGGATAAAATTCAATACTTTGTTGAAAAAGTGCTATTTTTAGGACAAGAATTTGATTGTAATGGTGTTAAGCCTGACTGTGAAAGAATCAGAGCTATTAATGAACTGGAAATACCTAAGAATAAGACAGAACTTCAACGAATTTTAGGCACTGTGAATTACCTTAGGCCTTTCATTCCTAACTTAGCAGAGCACTGCTCATTCTTTCAAGAGTTGTTGAAAAAGAAAGTAGATTTTCAGTGGACCCCCGAACACAGTCGTCATTTGGACAAACTGAAGGAAACTATTACAGCGGCTGCTTTACGTAGTCCCTTTGATTTTGACTCTCCAATAACTATTCAAGCAGATGCAAGTAACTATTCTCTTGGTTGTTCCTTGTCCCAAAATGGGAAGCCTGTTATGTTTGGCTCCAGGTCACTTACTGAAAGTAAAAAGAACCACGCACAGATTGAGAAAGAGCTACTTGCAATTGTATATGCTTTTGAAAAGTTTCATAACTTAGCCTATGGACACTTCAGCATTAAAGTACAAACGGACCATTCTCCTTTGCTATCAATTTTCAATAAGCAAATTCATTAAATAAAGAACAATCGTTTAAGAAGGTTGCGGCTGAAGTTACTTAAGTACTCATTCAATGTGAAGTTCGTTCCAGGAAATACTATATGTTGCAGATCTTCTTTCAAGACAGTGTGCTCCTACAAAATCACAAGAAGATGAAAGTATGTTGGATGTTATTCACTCAGTTCATGAAGTTACAATAAATGTAAAAACAATGGATCAGTACATAAAATCTACAAATGAAGACGAATCCTTATACAAAGTTATGCAGTTTTATCAAGAAGGATGGCCCAGCAAAGTTTCGCACAATAACCATGAACTAATGCATTATTTTAGAATACGAAATGACCTAACAGTTCAAGATGGACTAGTGTATTTTAACGAAAGGTTGATAGTGCCACCATCTATGCGAAGGTATACTTTACAGACACTCCATGAAACTCACTTGGGATTCAACAAGTTAAAGAAGAAAGCTCAAGAACTTGTTTACTGGCCTGGATTAATTTCAGATTTGAAAAATCTTATTGACAGCTGTGCTACTTGCGCTAAGTTTATGCGAGCAAAATTGACAGAGCCACTTCAACCTCATGAAGTTTTTGACATGCCTTTTTACAAGGTAGCAGCAGACATAGCCGATTTCGACAATCAAAGTTATTTAGTGTTAATAGATTATTACTCAAGATGGATTGAAGTTGAGCGTATTCGAGATAAAAAAGCAACAACTGTCATTGCAGCATTGAAGCCAATTTTTGCTCGTTTTGGAATACCAAGTATTTTTGTAAGTGACAATGTCCCATTCAACTCTTATGAATTCATTGACTTCAGTAAATTGTGGAAGTTTGAAGTAAAGTTTACTAGTCCCCATTATCCTCGCAGTAATGGACTTGCGGAGAAAGCAGTGGGCATAGTTAAGTCAATGTTGCAAAAGTCAAAGCATGAAAAGTCAGACTTTAGTTTATATCTGCTAAATTATCGGTCATCTCCAGTTGCGAATCTTAGGTATTCTCCTTCGCAACTACTTCAAAGTAGAGTTCTGAACACTAAGTTACCTGTAATACCATCAAAACTTAAACCACAGATTATTGATGATAAAGAAGTGACAAGCAAACTTGGCTAGGGTATGCAGTATAATAGAACAGCACTAAAGAAAACCAGTGTTTTCATGAAGGGACAAAAAGTATTAATCAGGAATGTTTCCAACCTTCAGTGGGAAGAAGGGTTAATAGTTGATGTGCTGGGAAACAGATCATACATTGTTGAAGTAAATGGGAGAAAGTTGCGTCGTAATTCGTGGTATATTCGACCCTTCATTGAACGTACCAGAACAAGGATAGTCAAACCTCCAAAAAAATTAGATTTGTGAAAAGGGGCATGTTTGGTTAAAAGTATTCCTTGATCTGCTTATAATCATATGTCATATTATTTATTTATTGTTATTGTTTACATTTGAATTATTTTATAAGTTGTACACATTCTGTTCAGTAATAAAGATACTTTTGTTAGAAATTAGTAATTTCTATTAAACACATACAACCGTTATGAAGTTTTTTGTCCGTAAATCCTTTTCCAAACATAAAATACTGAATCTAGTTGAAAGGCTTGCGTTAGAGAATATAGAATTTTAAAATAATGTATTTGGAGTACACGACAATAAACAAAGTTGCCATTTGTTGAACGTATCGCTCTACAAAGAGCGTGGTAACAAATCAAATTGTGGGATTAAATGTTGCATATTTTTTATTTGCCATTCCACTTTATCTTTTTTTTATAACTAACCTATAACGCAGTAATAGTATGTATAATAACTTGCCTTACTATTAATTTGACGAGTACAATTGAATGTAAGCCAAGGCTAACAGCATCCATTACCAGGGATCGCGCAGAATGACGCTAATCAACGCAATCATGTTTTCATCAACAACAATTAGACACAATCACTGCAATCGCTGTAACAGTCCAGCCTTGATGAAAATGTATCAAGTTGGATTGGAATCAAACTGTTTGAAAATGAATACAACTGATCACTATTTCAAACTGGTCAGAATTTAAAATATGCTTATATAACTCGAATGTTAATCTATTTAGTATGACAATTCAAAATAGTAGGCGTATCGAGATAGCAGAAGCCAATAGAAGATAATTGAGATAATGGATAATAGAATCTCTGGACTTTTGACTTTTGTAGTAAAAAATGTTTGAGGTATTTAAATGGTTCAGAATTTAAAATGTAGATTTTTAAGATGAAGTAAATCAAATAAACAAGTGAGTTGCATACAAAATTAAATCAGTTTTGGAGTCAATAAGTTAAAAGGAATTGACAATAAAGGACACTTTCAGCTTTTGCGGTTTGATTGAAGCAAATAGTAATTCATAGAAAAACTTTGATAATTTTTAAGAATGCATTCGCTTGAGGAAGAAATAAAATAAATTAAACTGGCATCAATATATGATTGAATCAGTTCATGTATCATCTTTACGGACGGATTGAATTATTTTTATTGAAAAGTCCACTTTCAGTAAAAAAGCCTCGTTTTCCTTCTTCCAGCGAGTGTTTGTATTGTTTCAAAATTTGCATATAAATACAAAGGTGAAAATTCGGTTATTCTTTATATAACCCTTCATTGTCATCTGAATAAAGTTTTTAACTACTGTTTATCTTGCGTATCGGGCTTTAGCGGTAAACATTGAAAATTCAGATTTGGTATAAAGTGCCCACTGGAGTGGCTAGGCCTACCATCTTGTAAATAAAGTAGCTTGTGTAGATGAGTATAATAAATTGTATGATGAATATTAGGAAAACAGAGTAGAGCTTGCACTTTTATCGTCAAATTAAAATTCCTTTCCAAGAAATATAAATGAACCTATATTTTTGTATTTTTTACATCGTGAACTGCCTTCCTTAAATATCTACATATAGTCTTTACACCAAAAACCTCTCTATCTGTTTATTAATAGAACCGAATTGTTTTTTAAATATAAAGATATTTTCTCTTTTAAACATTTATTGACACTTTTAGATATTATTCGTAGGCCTACTGTATCCAAATTACTTTTTAGAAGCTTTTTCGTATTTTACAGGATCGTTGCGTATTTTACAGATACTTTCGAATAACTCTTTCTACAAAGGTTCGTGATCTGGAATCTTCTTGTCCCGTATTGCCACGATACACTACCTAAAACATGTCAATATAAACATCAACGACAATAGCTGGACCACACACATATATAAAACAAAAACACAAAATAGTTTGCTTTTATAATATGAATACATACATTTTAAATAGGTAATCAACCAAATAGAGTTAATACTAAGGTAACAAAACACGTTTGATAGTACAAGATAATATAGTACCACACTATACCCTATTACTACGATTCTTCACAATAATAATGTACACTAACAGTCTACACAACAACAACTTTAAGGTTATTTTATGAAATAATTTGAGCAAAAATAAAAATTAACAATAGCTAGGCAGTGGTGAAAAACAAGTCTATTGCAATGCTATGGATACAATTTGCGTTTTTAATATACATTATTGTTTTAAGTAAATAAGCGAACAGTTGCTTTTGCAGCCCTAGGGGTGTAAAAACCTGCTCGGTCCCCAAAATGACGATTACAGCTGGCATAGCCAGCAAAACGTAACTTTCAGCCACCAATTAACGTATGTAAAACAGCTAACATCATAGTGAGGTGAAACATTTATGTTCACATGCAACCGTAGTACAGAAAAATAAATTGAGCCAAAGAAGCCTGATGAACACCCCCTTCTGAATTCAAGCCCCTTTGTATTGTTTTTATAAAAAGAAAGGTAAAATGTTGTTACGATTTCTAGTGAGCTTTTTCTTAGCATTTTAAAATATCAAGGGTGAGAATTCTTTATAACTATGTCCACATGAAACAAAACTAATTTAATACGTAATGTAATTTTTATCAAGTATTTTTACTTTTTTTATTAAATTTGTGCCGGTGTTTTGTACGTTATAGATGATTGTGTCACACCCAAGAATGGGTTAAAAATTTAGATCCTAAAACACTGTGGAAATCAGTTCCTTACTAATTTAAAATTAATACAATAGTCCCTTTAGCTACATTACAATGTGAAATTGAATCATTATTATTAGTTGACATTTCACTGAGACTAAGAAATGGAACTGATCCAACAAAGAAACGATTAATAAAACAGACTCTTTGTTCCTTTTCAAAGAGTAACTGTGAGTTGACTTAACAAGCCATATTTATAAACCAAGATATTTATTTAAAAATCTTATTCATGTCAATCGCTGGTCTTTAACTTTAATTACTAATATTGAATCATAACAATACCCAAGTTCATTAAATTACTTTTCTAACAGGTTAGAACACAATGTACCTAAGATATACTGTCTTCAGAGACTTGGT